ACACACACACACACACACACACACACACACACACACACACACACACACATATATATATATATATATATAATATATATAATATATATATATATATATATTGTCCTACATATTGGGGACGTAGCATTTAATCTTATTCGCATGCAGAATTCAAACAGTGCTCCTTGGTCTTATATTTCCAACTGCAAACAATCTCTCTTCGTTCCTGTTAGACCGTGGTCCAGTAACACATTCGACACTCTTTCATTTTTTATGCAAGATAAATTAGAGTTCCCTAATTATTACGTACACGGATAAAATATCAGATAATATTGTTCTTGTTGTCGCTATGACTTTAACTAAGCCTCTTCCAGGCCGATAGTCATACAATCGCCTTTGTTCTTCACTTAATCAATCAATTTTGTGGTAATAATTTTGCTAAAAAGCAATAATGATTGTGATGACTGCTCTCTATATCTCTTTTATTAAGACCTCGATGGGCTTTAGGGATTTGTGGCCAAAGTGAAGGCAAATCTTTCATCATTCTATGTTAGAAATCATTTAAATTAGTTCAAGCAATTGAAAGCTTATATGAACATTTCAAATGTAGAATTGTCTTAACCTCAGTTTGTTGTTATTGAAATCTAATGTTCTTACTTGTAATAACAATTCAAGTTGAGCGCATAAGCAGATTTATTCAATATTTCTGGGTCATGAGAGAATAGTCAAGCTTCTTTCCAACACATATGCTAAATTGTAATCTATATTGCAACTGAGAAAAAATGTTAATTGATATTTTTGCAAAAGCATATACGATAAAGTCAACCAAACATATTTATTTCTTAATTTTAAATTTTATTTTCAATGCTTTACTTAAGATTCAATGATTTAACCTCTTGATAATTTGGAATTGTGTTATAACCAATAGAATTAATTTTATTTACACCCCTTATGACCTAACCGAATATTTGAATATAGTCTGCACTCACATTTTTCATGTGGGCCGGGTCTATTTAAGGTTCTTTCAAGATATTCGAACAGGTTATTAATCAAGATATTTAATATTAGTAATACACTCTAGTCTCACATTTGATTTATGTATATTTCTGTTTATGACGTTTTTTTAATTCGAGTAATCTTTCCTTAGATTTGCAATACCAGGCAATGAAGAAGTTTATTAACAGTCAATCTAGTGACACAGATTCCGGTAGATTTTCTGGTGGAGCTACTTCTTCCGACTCTTCATTTCGTGTGCAGGATATTAACAGCAACATTTTAATCAAGATTTCCATCACTCCACTCTCTAAACAAGTCTATGCATCGATTTCTCCAAAAGCTCTGGTTAATCATGTAAAACAAAAGCTTATTGATGATTTTGGTTCCCAAATTAATGATTCTATCAATTGTGGACTTTTTGTGCCTCCTGCTAATGGAAGAAATGGAAAGTTTCTTGAAGAAGATCGTCCAATTTCCGCTTATATCACAGATGATTCCAGTTCTAATCTTGAAGTATTTCTTTTCTTTTTTTCATAAATAATTTTTTGCAGTTCACACATAAAAAACGGCTATGTCTTTACCCTCCATTAAATTTGCCCTGTGGAGAAAAATCTAAAAATCTTTTCCAGTCCTTTCTTCGGGCTGTTGCTCGAGGCGATATAAAGAAAGTTGAAAAATACCTTTCAAAGGACTTTGACCCTAACTTTATTTGTCCCAAAACCGAGGGTAAGGAGGCGTTTAAATTTAAGTCTCCTTTTTAGAATCCCCATTATCCGTTGCTGTTGGTCGACCGCGCCCAATGGAGATGATAAAGGTTCTCATTGCAGGTGGAGCACATAAAGATTATCGTACGAGGAATGGTGTAACTCCGCTCCACAAAGCCGCGGCAATTGGCAATTTTGAAGCTGTGAAAGCCCTCTTGGATTTCGGGCAATCCCCAAATACTCTTGACTCTAATGGGTTAACTCCCCTTTATTACAATATTCTTGGGGACGTTGATACACGAATTTGTCATCGATTGTTGTATGAACATGCACAGATCGAAATTTACGACACTGATGGCAAACAGGAAATTCATCAGGTGCGTATTTTTGTCATTTTACTTTTGAAACTGTAATATATAGCTTTCAAAGTTTGTAGGAGTATGCAAGGCAATCTCCATTAGACGAAAAGGCCGCTAATTACAAAATAGAGTTGTGCTAGAAATTAGAGGAGGGTAATCTAATATTAATACCTCTCGCGAGTGTTAGATATAAAGTTTTTACCGTAGATGCTCGAAGAGCAGATTAACCTTGAAGGTTTTCATTAGAAAATCGCATTATCTTCTGGTTTCTCATGGACAAGAAGATTTCCATTTCTAGGCATTTATGCAAGCACGTATTTCATAAACTTGTATTAATCCTTCTCAGCTAGACAATGGTTGTGAATTACAGTTGGCACTTCCGAACATGGATATTGGATTAGATGAAATTTCAGAGCTTTTCCCATCATCGTTCGACTGTTAGTCGGGAATCATTTCTGTTATCTTATTCTCTGTTCTTGCGTGATTTGACAGTTTCATCAATTTAGCATCTTAAGCTACTGAAATTCTATCCATTCTACGTATATGATTAACGAAATGGACATTCAGCATTACATTTATTATTGAAAGTTCAATGACATTTATCCCCCATATAAAACTGCTCAAACTTTTAAATTTTGCTTTCATCGAGAATTTCGGTACTCAACATTTCAAACGAATACTTATTACTGTTATCAATATACAAAAGTATGTAATTTTATTCACAGCAAAACAGCTTCTACTCAAGGGAAGCATACGAAGATGGAATTAGTAGAATACTCTCATTTGTAGTGAATGTGGTGTTTCATAGTTTAAAATCAAGTTTTATTTGCTTCGTTACAGCCCTTGACGAATAGACGATTGAGATAATGTTATGTAAAACTCATCTACAGTTCTTTATCATAGTTATATATTTCTACGTTAGCTCTATAACGCCCTTAGGATCGTACCATCCTACTTCAAAAGAAGTTTCAGTGGTACTTGACTCGTACAGAAGACGCTATTTTCATATGAAACATTTTCAGCACCTTCACTTGATACCACCAAAACCCCTCACGTCGACGTCATCAGTCTGCTGGGAGACACGCGTGAGTGCGGTTGGGTGCATTTCTCAAAAATAAATCGGGAATTAAAAGGTTAATTTAGCCATATTTGTCACTAAAAATATAATTGATAAAACTCCTTTCGTTCTTATTCAGAATGAGCCTGGATGCTCACATCCTTTCTCACCAACACTCAGTTTTGCATTCCGAACCTGAGTTCCTCAGATTGTTGCCTATATTTCATGAATACAGTGTACTCAGTTGCCTGAGTCGGTTTTAAAATAGCCGAGTTCGCTAGATTGAATATAAGCCTTGGATTATTATCCACCTCTTTCCTGTTAGGCTGCATTACTCGGTCGAACTGATCAGATAAATCTACTAATAATGTATGGGGCAGATGTGAACGCTAGATCCCTCCCACGTCCACAACTAGACCCTCCGGGTCTTCCAGCCCTTCCAACACGTTCAACCAACAAGGCGAACAACCAATGGTGTCAGAATAATGGAGTTCAGACCCAATTGCATCGTATTATTGGCTGTGGTCGAGAAACTCCCTTACACTTCACTGCTATCACTGGTCAATGCGCTACTGCTAGACGTCTTCTCTATTGGGGAGCCGACAGAACTTTGACAAATGACGAGGGTCGCACGCCTTTGGAGGAGGCACTAAAACGTGGAAACACTGAGGTGGCCGAAATTATCCGCAATTTTCGTGGGGACGCTGGAGGCAGTGCGAGGGAAATCGGTGGTTCAGAAAACAGCATCTGTAAGTACTTCAGGTTTTATAGTATTTCTTGGCATATTAAAGCAATACAATTGAAAAGTTGTACATTATAATTGATTACAAAATTGTCCTACAATTGACTTCTCAGGGATGGGGATTCATCAGCTAAACTTGATGAGCTGATTGATGATCATAATTGCATTTGGTGGTATTGGAAGGAGGAGATTTATTTTATTTAAAAATGGCATCTGCTTTACTGTGGTTCAGTCTAATTTACTATGCACGGGTCGAATCTTCTGATGATTTGAACTACCAGGCAGTTTTTTCGTTTCCTATCAAGTCCCTTCTAATTCACTTTACAATTTAAGCTTAAAATAAACCAGAAAATTGACTTAATCAATTAATCTGATTAAAATTATGTACCATGTAGGACTTGAGTATTGGCAACAACTTTGATTGTAATATGGAATATTTACGTCAAAAAAAGTTTTTAATTCAAGGTAAATTCTTAAATTCTTAGTTTTTGCAACTGAAGCACGTTGAATAAGCAGAAGTGGTTATTGTTCAAGGATATCACTTTCTTATCCGCACCACAGCCGACCTTATGTTTATGAAATCGACAAACATTTTATCAGTCAGGCAAGGTCTTGCATTTAGAGGGAGGAACTCGGGTCTATTCAATTCAGTATTGTTTTCATTTTCTTCCACTAAAATTCTCAAATATAAATAAGCCCTTACTTAACCATACGAGACTTGATTAAGATATTCTAATAGATGGCAATTTATTCAACTTTTTATTTTAAACATTTGAAGCATTCTGACACAGTGACCTTGGAAGTTACCAGTGATTTCTTATCATTTTAAATACTTCGTTTGCCATTCCTTCAATGTTTTCAAGCTGTTTTCTGTTTATTCTCGTTATTTTACGACATCACAATAAACTTGGCTCTTGTGCTTTGAATTATGGCTGCATTCTGATCTCTCCAGGCACAAACACCCCACCACCGTCTCTGTCCCTTCCCTGTCTTATTCTATCGAAAAGCATAAAATAAAATAATTGCTAAAAATTTGCATCTCCTAAACTGCAGTCTAGTCAAATCTAATATTGACAGTGGTGAATCTGTTTTTTAAAGTTACGACAGACACCACTAACTTAGAAGGGATTTATCTAGACACGGAGGAGTGTACGTATATTAGATTTTGGTTGATTTTTCATCAGTGGTAGGCAGACTAGACTATTGATTTCCCATTCTTATTGCGCGATTATTTCAAGTCATCAATTTGGGTCAACTTTCTTTCCATTATCATGAATGTTCAACTAACATTGTGTTTCTGAGGGGAGTTCTACGTTTGCATGAAGGTCTAAATCTGAAAGCCTATTGAAAATTGTCCCTTTCTCTTCAAGGTGGACCATTTTTGCCAGCACCAACTTACAATCAGAAACGCAAGCCCATGTCGGCTCCGCTACAAGTCTTCCCATTAGATAATTATGTCACTTTGACGGACTTGGGTGTCGAACGTAGGGGTCCGTCACGTAGCGTTACCATGCCTTTCCCTGCAAGTCCGTCTCGACAACCGAATGGAATAGCTTCACCAAGTACGAAGCGACAGCTTTCGCCCTCTCCTTCCACTTCACCGCTTCCTCTTGGGCGTCTACGCAGTCGTGCCTGTTCAGAAGGAGATTTGATGCGCTCTCTTGGGGAGGAAGATAGGGATTCCACTGATAAACGGGATTCAGATGCCCTTGGACATAAACGTATTGTCCAGTCTTCCAGGGATAACCGAAATCCTCGTCGTGTTCGAAGGCAAAAACTATCTCGGGGATTTACTGAAATTCTAAACTCAACTGGTAAGTAATATTCTATCATTATTTTACTTAGACAATCTAAGTGATATTGTGACGATGATCTGTGCTTTACATGATCAATTAAAGCAGTTGCAGTTTTTCTGTATTATTACTGACAATTTGGCAACCAATTTATCACATTTCCTGCTTTAAATTCTTGTCTACTTTGGTAAAATGCGAACAATATTAAAGTTACTTAAGTTTCCAAATTCTTTCCATTAAGATGCTTAAATTTTCACGTCTGAAAATTTATTTATTTCCCTTTAACACTTACATAATAATTAGCCTTAATTTTGTCGGATGGAAAATTTCACCTATTTTTATCAACAGCGGCAAATGTATCCGTGTTTGTTTAAATTATTAACTTAAAATCATTGACACAATAAATGCACTAGAGTATGATTTCTGAATTCAAGTGCACAGTGGAGTATAAAGTTGAATAACACGGAAAGTATGGTGATGTTCACTTTCCAATTAAAAATGTAATTCCAGCATAATTTTAGCTTTAATGAAATGGTTGGTCGTGTCCCTTTGCTTCAGTTGTACCTCCTTACAGCGGTAATTTGGTTGGTGTTTCAGACGAAGATATCTGAAACATAACAATAAAATTCGGTTTATTATTTACTTACTTAAGTATGTGCTTTAATTACGTCCACTAGCAACGTAAACTTTCAAACAATTTCACCCTTCAGTAAACTATTTTTAATATTCATACTAGAAATGTGGTGGTGGGGGGGGGGGGGCTATATATTGAGAATAATACCTATTCCTATCCGTTTTTCAGACGCATAGTGCATGCTTTTTCAACAAAACGACCCGAACCACAGCTTTTTCACCTTGCTCCCAGCATATAGCATGCACCAATAAGGACTTGAGTTCATATATATGCAAAATCATGCGAAAGTTTTGTCACATTGATCTAAGGTTATGTGATTATATGAAAGTGAGAGAAAGGTGTAGAGAAGTGCTAATCGGCCTAACTGCTATTGTTAAGTCAGACTGATTTATTCACCATGGCTACTACACTCACTCTCACACTCACACACACACAATGAGTAATTACCTATTCGAAGAGTATGGCTCATACGTGGGCTGCTTGATGGCAAAGTTACGGTTGTGTCACATGCTCTCTGACAGGCTTGATTTATGTTCTTTCTAGAAGGGATTGCAAACTGTGTGGGTTCTGAGCTTATGTTTGCTTCTCAACTGCATTTGATCTCAGAATGACAAAGATTTCTCTAAGAGGACGTTTTATGTGCCTAGAAAGCTAACAGTTATCACTTCACCATCTCTTGATATTCTGGAATATTTATGCTTCGATTATGTCTACTCAATAAATGCGAAGGTTAACATACATGCGAACCGTATTATTATAACAAGGAAATTGATTGACTCCTTGGGTGGTCTGTACCCGTTATGTGACCTAGACACATGCATTAGTGGGTAGTCAATTGCTGTCAAGAGTACACGTGAGTGTTTCAAGAGCAGTCAATGAGAGGCATTAAATAATGGCATTTTATTTAGTAAAAATAATGTGTTTTTATTTAAATAAAAGAATATTGAGAGGCAGATATGAAACAAAATGTTAATCATATTTATTTCTGCAATCCTCTTCTCAATAACAACAGTCTGCAGTCTACTAAACCAACAGCTCTGAGAGAGCAAAAGTAGTTTGAAAAATCGCATCTGCTCTTGTTAGCTCGATAGTTTGAAGCAGCTCAGACAGAATTCAATGGCAACACTTAGAATATCCTTCTATTATGTGACGTTTCAACTGTCCTATAGGCCTTAAAACATTGGAAATTGTATTGTGAAATTGATAATTGCGCAGAAGGAACTGCGTTCCTGGGCATTGCTTTTCTTTACTCGAACAGTTTCATGCTCGGTATCAACACCCCTTCCCCCCCCCCCCCCCCCCCCCCCCACGGCACTTCTTCGTTTTCATCTGGAAATTTTCGATATGCATTTTAAAATTGATACGTAGTTCGTTTGAAAAGGAGACAAACTTACACTTGGAACTGTCCTCTCATTGTTAAAGTTCAGGGGTTCTCATCTTTTGAGATATGGGTTCGCGAAAAAAACGTGGAGAGAGGGGTGTTTTTTCCTCAACACGTCTCCGCAAACAAGGCACATCGATACTCACATGCCGAAGCGTCATTTCAATCTCTGTTTATCAACGGTTTAACTCTTTTTAAACAATGTTACCAAGGCCATCATGGATATGGATGTGGAAAGAATTCAATGAATTTGCTATTTTACTCAATCGGGTTTTGTAATGAATGTTGCGTTGTACATCAAAAAAATGACTTGACATGGACCATAAAAGGCAAAAATTTAGGAAAAAGAAACAAACGAATTTTGGTTTGATCCCACCGACTGTAAGATAATTTAATGGACTTTTTTGGTTGAAATTCATAGCTGGGCGTGAGATTGGAATGAATTTCGGACAGGTATTTAACTGATTGAGTTTTAACCCAGCTATTTAAAACTCATTCGAATAAGCAAGTTCTCCGCAAATTCACTTTATATGCTCAAATATTTAGCCAACGGAACGTCTTCACGCAAAAAATGGCAAAGATCCACTTTTTATTCTTAAATAATTACGTAGTTAACCACGCGTTCTCACAAATTCCAAGTGAACTGTGTGAGTGCCTTTGAAACTACTTCCTATTTGTATTTAAAGCAATTGATTTAGAGGACAAAATTCTGGAAGTAGACATAAACAGTAATTGATTGGGGTTTAATTCGTTTGAATTCTGGAACTTTTATATTTACTACTTACTTTTAACGCCTATGGATGAATCAAACTTTGAAAATTAATAATTATTCAATGGTTTAAATCTGGAGTTAATTAAATTAACTGGTTAGTCGGTATATTTGTTTATTTTAATAACCATGGTGTAGACTGTTCAGTAGATTACAATAGAAAGGAAAGTTGATCAGCACAGCGGAGCTGTCAACGTTAACATCTGAAATGAAGGGTCGTTTAGTGAACTCTAATGAGCTCTGATATGGTGAAATCATATTAGTTCTTATTGTGTGGATATCAAACAGCAAAATATCTGAGGCGCTTGTCCAATCATTTTAGTAAACTGATAATTATGCTCTGGACACAACGAATATGAGATATGACAGAAATGTGAGACAAGTACTATAATGTGGACTTTGGATTATAAGATCAGGAAACGCACAATCTGAATCCAAGGTCAAAATTCGCCACTTCCTTCTGAAGGCAGTACTTGCAAGTACCCGTATAGACCACTTTATTGTTACCTTCTATGGTAAAATATTGTGAAACGTTTTAGTTTTGCAATGAGTGTTAAACAAAAAAATGAGGAATACTTATTTTATACCTTCAACTTAGATTGTTCAAGTAGTTCAACCCATACTCGTCGGCGTCTACGAAGTTGGAAGTCATCAAATACCCTCAACGAGGAGTCAAATCTATATGATGACGAGGGTAAAATGACAGACTTGGTGCCGGCTATGGCTACTCGACGTCCAGTCTGTCAAATTACGAATTCCACTCCTGGGGATTCCTCTGCTATGCCTCTGAGTCGATTTCTAACCGCTCCAGCAGCGACTCGTTCGCCAGAAAGACCGTGGTCATCTCAGCATACCTCGTCGACGGCCCCACACCTTGCAAGAGGAGAGTAAGTTCCTTGGAATGGTTTTAATTGAGTTTCTTTAATTGGTGAATATTATATTCTTGGAATTGAACCCCCTCCTCAATTCAAGCATTTCCTCCCTCAGGGCTTTTCAACTACTCCAAAAATAGATTCGAATCGATTTTAAATTATCACGAAATGGTGACCTATCAAAAATTTTAGGTCTCACATGTGATTTGAAAGTTTCATTTCTATTGAGTTCGATAAGATAGACTTTTGAGATTCTGCAAGGACAGGTTACTAACTACAAGGTGAAGGGAATTTTAAAATGTCAATTTTATCGTTTTCGACAGACTGTCTGTTTTTTGGCTTGCGCTTTTCAACGAATTTTTCAGCAAAAAATTTCACAATGTAAATGTTTTACCTTAGTTATCTTCAACGTTGAGACTACACTCGTCTCTACTAGATGTAGACGTCACCTTTGGAGGTTTAGATCGCAAAGTCTTCTAGAATCAATGCATGCATTTAACTGCGAAGCTGGCTTAACACAGGTGGAACTAGTTCATTCTTGGGAGAAAGAAGTTGAAACGGCAAATAGTCTATAAAAAAATCAAAATTTTGATGATTTCACAAGTAATCTGTAATAATTAGGAGCAAATAGTCTGCCCGGACCCGACACCAGAAAAAAGACCTTTTCGATGTAAATTCGTTTCACGCGTGGACTTTGCAATTTATCTTGGTACATTAATAAAAAATAACGGTCGATTTCTTCCCAGGGAAATTTTATCAATCCAATGGCAAATGGAATCCTTTTTATTCTAGAAATTCACGCATTTCTAACCGTCTGCCTTAGTTAAATTCACCCCAAGGAATGACTTTTGCATGTAAATTGATTTTCACATTCCTTAAAAAATGTAAATTTGTCCTATAGCATCTTGGCGGATGGTTGTGGCCGCATTTTAAAAGACCTCCTTTAGTTAACACAAAAATTTTAAATAAATATCATTTTCAAATTTTTTATGAAAAATTACTAAGTTTATATTTTAGGCGCTCGATATGGTAATAATTTCATACTTGCTAAGATCGGTTGAATTCACTACGGCACAGAGCACTCTTTAATTTGTGTTCAATAGGAGTAACATTTTCATCCACCACTAAACTCGTCTTTTATTTACCTTTCATAAATTGAAGTTCTTGAGAACCTTTTTATGCAATAAATGTTAACACGTACTCATCTCCGCACTCTTGAGCGACCACGTCATTCAATGTGGTGTTTAGAGTTTTGAGAGAATATCATCTATTAATAATGGTCGTTGGGTAGTAAAAGTGTCGATCAGCCTCATAGTAAGAGATAGATCAGTTCAGGGGTGAACCCTGCCTTAATTCTTCCAGAAATTTTGCCACTCTTATTAAAATTAATAAATTTAGGGGAGGCATCAGTCTTAAAACATCTTAGAAACTCCAAGCTTCAATTTATGTCAGTAATTTTTTCTTCACAGGATGCATTAAGTAAGGGTTACCGATTAGGGGCTAATACTACCCAAGTAGCGGCTCTTCGGGTAGTGGTTTAAATGAATCTATGAATGATTTCGAGATATGACTTGCGAGAGTCGAATGAGAAATAGCTTAAGAGATGACAGTGTCCTCAACTTGCGAATCATAAACATTCTCTTCAGTCCTCTTCTGGAAGTCTTTACTCATATCTCGCAAGTATTGTGCTGTTTAATCGGTTGTTTTGAGTAGAGTTGCTATGAGAATTTGATTAACCACTTATATTCCCACATCATCTTCTTTCCGGAACTCAATTAAAGTCAACCGTATTTTTTTAAGTAATTAGTCTCGAATCCCATGAATATACTAAGTGGCTTTACTCAAAGCAAATTCATTTGTTACAGAGAAATGATTGTGACTAAATTGGCTCAACAGTCATAAAAATCTCATTCTGTGTGTCACCCGTTTCCTTAGTATTCAAGGCTTTGTTTTCAAGATTGGTTCATCGTAAGATATATAAATCTTGTTTTGGGTAAGAGGTTGCCTCCATTGTGCCTTCCAGGTCAAAGCTCATGTGGTCTACACTCATCTATGTGCATTCAGTAAAGTGGAGGGAGCCAAGTTGGTTATCCCGAGAGGAGTTTCTCTTGAAGTTCTCCCTCTAATCCTAGACAGTTCCAACTAGCACTTTCCAGAAAGCATTTTTGATGTTCTTCAACTCGATGATAACAATGTTTAAAATTCGGACCCAAATATAAATTGACAATAAACACTGTTATTGAGTTATTTATCTAGATTACGTAATACAATCAGGAGTACTAAAAACTATGTTCAACTTTAATTAGTTGTAAATGAATTTATAATTCCTTCGTGAGTTGCTATATTCCCACGCTGAAATGTAATTCAAATGGTTTTTATGTGAAGCTTTGATATTAACAAGTTTTTTAAAAAAGTGCACCATCGTTTGAAGATACCTTTAGTACTCAAAAGGTACCAATTGGTGTGAGCATAACTTACTAATTTAAAGGGATATGAATTTGACGAAGATGAATTTTTCTTCCTAATGTCGAAATTGAACAATGAATTCAAATCTGATTGAAAAAACTCCTTTTGACTGGGGAGATAGGGAAAAGAATGCTTTTTCGAATTGGAATTTATATGTACTAAAATCTCGGTTAATGAACGGCACAATTATTCATGGTTAATGCATTTGGTGGGAAAGTTGATTCTTACCACGCATTGAAACTCTATATAATTTGTTTAAATTTTCAAATTAAGACTTATAGGACACTGTAGTGCTATCTCTATCTACTTTCCTACTGAATATTAACTATGTAAAGGGCGTGATTAAAAAGAAGTTCTACAGTTTGATCTAACAGATTTCCAGCCTTGAACTTACCAAAACCTAGAGAGAAAGAGGGAGTTCTTAAAGAGCAAATAGCAATTCTTTGGAATGGAAAATGCCCCTTATTAAAAGGCGTTTTTTCCTATCACTGTCAATTTAGCAGCATTTGAAGTCATTTAATTGCTAACGTAAAATCTTCCGATTTTTCCTTTTATTTTATTGGTCAAATCTAAATAAGAATGTCAATGGAATCAAATATATGCGACAATCGATTTAGCGGGGCATGTTCCTGATCTTAAAAGTGGGGGGATCCGATTGATAATTATATACACTCTGAGACTGAAAGTGCGTTTGAATTGCACATTCAATTATAAGATATAAGGCTCTGATATGTTTGGTTATGGGGGAGATATACTAAGTTTTTTCGTTGAAATTAATCTATATTTGTCTTCTAGTGTGTCCGCAACCAGTGGTCGAGACGGTGCCCCCATCCCCACGAACCCCTTCGCCATTTCGAACAACATCACCACAGCTGCCAATACTGCATCCTCTCGACCCGTCTCACCGAATCATCGCGAAACACACTACTTTCCAAGGTCACCTGTCATGTCACCTGATCGATCGGGAGCCTGCTCACCCAACCGCAGAACAATTTGTGACAATTCAGAGGGCGGGCTAACCTGGACTGTTGTCCTACATAAAGCTTATTTGCCCGAGGGTCCGCGTGTACCAACTCTAGGATTATCACTTCGAACTGTACAGAGTAAATTGATCAAGAATTGAGCGATTGCTATTTCAATTGATCATCTCAATGTTGATAATGCCTCTGTTTTAGACGTATCAGCCGTTCAACGCTTCATACCAACCCCAGCCAAACCGAGTCTTCAACTCATTAAAAGCGTGAAACCTGGAAGTCCTGCATTCCATGCTGGTCTACAAGAAGGTGACTATGTTATCAAGGCGAGTAAATAGATCAAATTTCTTTCTTAATTTCGACATTCTCTTGACTATTTGCTTGTCAAATCTGATGACGATTTTAACTAACTTGGCCGAAGAACCCAAGCTAGTCGAATACATTTCCGGCTTTTAACCGGAAGATTAGTTTATAATGGAATTTATGAATGTTTCAGTTTGCTATTGTTCTTTTTTAATCCTAGGTGCGGTTTAATTCTAAGTTCATGCTAAAATAGTAATTTTTAATTTGATTTTAAAGGCTATGCTGGAAAATTAAGTAAACTAAAACTTGTACCCATTTCTAGAACTCTGACAGCTCTTCATCTTTGCTAATTTTCGGAATTTGAAATTGGTAGTTATATAGTTTCGAGTTGGTGTTATGCAGATAGTCAATATATTTATATCCAATAGTAGGCTCTATAATTGTTTTTATTAGCCCTTTAGTTGAGTTCGGGCTTCACACAGAGGCGAGGAACACCAAAGTCATAAAAGTCGAGGGGGGGGGGGACGGGGGTGGGAACAGAAGAGTGAATCACAGATGTACAAAAAGCAGAGAAAAAGATAGGGTGAGGTGAGTACAGTGAAATATGGCATACAGTGGAGTCATGGCAGTTTGAATTCAGAAGTCAACTGCTGGTTTAAGTTTTTTTGCCGTAAGAGTACACTTTGCCAGGGTGCACCACGTGGAGGTAAGTCTACCGTGCACCCCTTATCCAGTATATAGGTTAGGCTGTTTTCTTCACTCGACTTTGCACGAAAATGATTTTTTCCCATCTCCTAAAACACGGATGGTCGTATTTGCACACTTAGTCGCAGCAATTTAATTACAACCTCGACCCCTGGTGACCTTATGAACACTCTTGGAGCCTTCACTTGCGCTTAATGGAGTTGTCAAAATGAAGTGTGCTGGGATGCAATAGACTTTTAAGTGGCAGCCTCACAAACGAACGTCTTGATTAAGGAAAAAAATGTCTCCAATTTATAGTAATGATTCATGCTGCAAACGTGACGCAACAGAAACCATCTGCAGCTTGGAACTTGTTATTGTCCGTCGCAGCTGTACTTTTCTTCCAAGTTGAACTAAGTTCATATTGTACTTACAAGTTCAGATAAGTCTTGCGATTTCACGGAACTGGAATCCCAAAACCACCATACCAGTAAGCATGAACGTACAGGAAGCCTTGAAATGAAATTACATAATAACCAAAGCTTACCATCACGCACACGTGGTGCTTGCATTCACAATTGCATTTATCTCTAAATGTAGTCGTAGAAAGGGAGTTTGAGACTCCTGTGCGCGTATTACACACGTTTGTACCTGCTTTGACATTTTGGCAAGCGTTTATTTGAGTTTTTTTGTGTGTGTGTGTGTGTGTATGTGTGCGCATTATGAACTACCACGTTTAATATTCCTGTTTGGAGATCAGATTGTAGAATAATTAGGGTCACCAGATTCGTAGAGGCCAGATTCTATGGAGCTGAATTATCCTTTCACTATCAAGATCTTCCCTTGAGCAAATCATTGGACCAATAGGTGTTTGTATTGATTGAGTCTCATTACCGGGGTCATATGGAAAACGCAGTGTTTTGAGAATAGGTGGAGGGGTGCGGATGAGAGGCGGCCGGAGTATTGATTGTATCGAGTTTTGCAAACAGGACCATTGTAATTATTTCCAGTAAAATCACTTAAATTTAACAGTGGATTAGAAAGTTATTTTGCAGAAATTATACAATTTATTCTTCAATCCTCTGTTAAAGAAATATGGAACATCTGCAAATCAAAGGATTGATATAGCTTAAGAATCATTGATACACATATATCAAGATGTTGGCCTTCACAGTTTTCCAACCAACATAGAAAAAATGTCAGTGGAAAGAATATGAGAATACTAGTATTATTAGATTAATTGAGTTATGAGCTGAGCCTGGGCAGTGACGCATCGTGAGGCTTAATTCAAATTCGATTTTCTGACTGTATAATTAATACCTGTATAAATTCAACTTCTTTTCGAACATCGTCTTCATTACGCCCCTCTCTGTCGTGAGATAATTTAGCTCCTTGCGAAATTTAGAACTCTCAAGACTTTGTGTATGATTTCATTCAACCCCGCCTATGAGATGTGAGGCTTCATTCAAGTGGGTATCTTACTTAGTTCAAATTATCCAAGTGTTGATGCGGAACTTAGTTTTATTACTGCAAAAAGTGATCTTGTTTTCATTTGCCATTATTCATAAAATGAGAGACTTATTGAATTTGATCGAATATCTAACCTGAAGTAGGTCTTATTGCATATTCAGTCATTGTCTCAAGGTAAAGTTGCTTGAGATTAACGCATTTAAATCAGGATCAGTTGCAATCTAAGGGTTATCTATAATTGACATAAGATTGAGAAGTCGGTCTTTACAGCAGGCTTGTCTTAATCAAGGCTTCTCTAATCATACCAAATCTGCAAAATATTTTTTGAGCGATTTTAGGCAGATATCATCAGATTTATTCCTTCAATGATTCGAATTTAGCAAGACCATCCTTTATTATTTTTATGGAAAATGCATTCGATTGAAAATTCCTACCATTATGTCCCTGATTTTGGCTAAAATTCAGAATGACGTGCTTTGTACCATAGTATTCCGAAATACCTACGGGTTTTGTTTTCTTTGAAGCGTTTACTGGTTTCAGTATTCTGAAGCGACGTAGAAAGATCTCACTATATTTTTAGGAAATGAGATTATAAATAGTTATTCAAGGAAAGACTAGCTTCTTTTAAATTTGGTTTAATGTGCAATTGAAGAGGTGAGCGTTTAATCTTCTGTTTCTCCTTGATTCTCTTCGCATGTTCATTACCTTGCACCCGTTGTTTGTCCTGACCTACACACTGCGTCGGACAGGTGCGTCATAGTACAATTTGAACTGATCCTGCGACTGATCATTAAAGCGCTTGATTAGAAAATGAAATTGGACAAGCATGTGAGATGCTACCACACGAATGTACTATAATCGCCCCCCCCCCCCCTCCTCCTCTCTTCATCCTGACCTCATAATCCCGCAGTTCTAGGGTCACACTCGTCGTCGTAACACTACAACAGCATCGTTACAGGACTAAATACCTTTTTTTGCGCATGTTCTATGAATACCCAGTTAAAAGATGTAGACGCATTAAATAGAAGTGTATTCGAAATTAATTTATCGATTTTGAATTATAATAATTAACCACTTTGTTCAACAAAATCGATTCCGTTTATTTTAAGGTTCAAATCTGAATTTGTTAGTTCAAAAAATAAGCCCTTATAATCAGATCTAGGACGTAAAATTATAACAATAGCTTAGTGGCAATAAGTCTTTACTATGCAAATGTGGAAATGAAGTTGTTCATTGTACTCATTTTATACTCTTGCCTTTTTAAAAAATACTCCTGTGTTGTTGAATTTGCACGCTGATTAAAGTATCAATAAAGGCAAAATTTATCTTTTGTTCTCATTAAATCATTTGTCAAAATGTGATAACTTTAGCTTTTATTCCAAATGGAATGTGACTTAATACGTGTAAGATATTGGAGGTGGTCAGATTGGATAATGAGGCACTGACTTGCAATTCAACATAAAAGAATTTCAGGAGTCCAATGAATGACGAAGTACGTTCGGATCACCACACGTGCGCCAATATTATGGATATTTCGAACTATTTATAGTACTTTATGAATTATTTGTCACTTAGATCACAGGATTTCTGCATTTACGACGAGTTAGAACTGTGGCAAACCTTTAGTTGCGTTTTATTTCGAAAATCGAGGGTCAAAAACTCTTTAAATTTGTTCATCATTTAGATGGACATTATTTGTCAGATGGAACTGCTCGACATCATAGAATTTCATTTAATAGCTGTGGTAAAGTATGACCTTTCAGGGAAGCATAGATGATGGCTTCCGTCGTTATATTCCAATCAGCGTATCATGAATTGGTCAAAGGCACCATGCTGATGAAACGCGTTTTTCAGCATAAGATCGATAGATTCTTTTCCATATTCAGTCCCGTAAATCATGTTTTTATTGACTTTTAGATCAACCATGTAGACGTTACGAGGGCTTGTCACGCAGAAGTGGTACAACTCCTCGACACTCTGAAATCCAACTCTGTGGTACTTCAAATGACTCGACCCTCCGGCGCTGTACCAGATCCCGGACGCAAGTCTCATTACACAGTGTCGAGGAATGCGACAATCGGGGTTGGAGATGGACCAGCAAAGCCCACTGTTCAGAGGAGTGTCAGTATGGCTGGACGAATGAGTCGTCACAATAATGGGCCGGCACCCTACTCCCCGATGCTTCCAATGTATGCTCCCCCGCGTAGCAGATGTGTTTCTCCAGGTGATAGCAGTGTCTCAAGTACAGGTAAGGAATCCTTTAGCTTAGTTCCATTTTGGATCTCTACTCATGCCTTGACTACGATCGATCGTTAGGCCATTTCCTGATTCGCGTTTGCAATCCATTGGAGTGAGGCAGTAAATGAAATCCGATTTCGATTACTCTGTGCAGAGGGTACTTTGAAACCACTGACATAATCCCCTATTTTAATAATTATTAAAGTAATATAATTACTAATATATGACACAAAAATGAGAATTTTTACATAGTACTATGGTAAGTGAAATTTGATTGTAGTAAGTACAATATGTGGTATGGTGAAAGTTACTGGATATCAATTGACAGGCTTTATGATAGTTTTCATTAGCCACTTAGTTGACTTCGAGCTTCACATAGAGGGGAGGAATATCAGAGTCACAAAAAAAGTCTAGGGGGGGGGGACAGAAGAGTGATTCACAGATGTACAAGAGACAGACACAAAGGCAGAGAAAAGGTAAGATGAGTACATTGGAAGTGGTGAAATATGACATGCAGTCGGGTCATGGTAGTTTGAAGTGAGAAGTCAACTGCCGATTTATAGACTTTTGCAGAATGAACATACATTGTGCAGTGTGCACCGCGCGGAGGTAAGTCTATCGCACACCCCATAACAGGAGACATAGGGGATTATACCATTTGTCAGTGAATTTCAATTGATTTGAAATTGAGCTTTGCGCAATTCCAATAGGGTAGGAATGTATGGTAGAAACTTGTATTTCAATAGTAAATTCAAAAATGTACATATTTTCAACATTTTGGAATTGCAACTGAGTGGATCAAAAAAAATGTTTAAATCAATGTCCAGTTGCACAAGTGTCTTAGTTAAATTGTTTTTTTTGTGGTTTCGGGTTGCACAGTACCTAATAAATGTGTCGATCACGTTGCAAAAATCAAATTTCGTCATTGGTTACTTGAATTGGTGGGAAATTTTTGTCCACGGTTTTCAGTGCTTATTGGCTAGTTATTTAATTATGAAGGTTGGTCTTGCCACTCTAATGCTCTCTGTCTTATAAATGTAGATAAAGTAGAATGCAATTAATGATTTAAACAACTTACTGGGTCCAATAATATGCGGATATGCTATAGTATTAATTGATTAACTAAAAAATTAATTTTTTTCCCTAAATGGCTTTATCATTTTCCTAACCCCCCCCCCCAAAATCGATGTTTACCCAAACCTAGTTAACAATTGTGGAATTTAAAGGGTTGATCCCCAGAGCATGGACAAACACCACATTTCCACTTCACTTGAATATATATTCTAACCCCTTTACCGACCGTAAACAATATATTAACGAAACTTTACTGGGATATGCGTATTTTATGGCCGGATACACAAATAACAAGTGATTTATTTATCGTGAAAATCTACCTTAATCGATTTGGATAAGAATATTTTTCAAACAAGGATGAAATTTAAGTTTACTGAGGAAGAAGTGAAAATGGTAAAAATCTCCAAAAAATTTCTCATTTCATTCATCTGCTTAGTTAAAAAATTGTATCAAATCCTGATCCTGATCTGCGTAATATATATATATATATATGTAATACGGGACCGATGTGCCGTTTTGTGACCTTTTGAAGTTAGAGGCAAACGGTCTTTTTAGACCCATGGGTGGTAACTTGGCACAAGCATTCTTGTAGTCAGTGAAAATATGTTTAATTTACAAGTGCTCAACGTACCCCGTGATAACTCACGTTGCCACCAAGTTCAGCCCTTAACGATTGGCAAGTCTCTTATCCAATGATACATGAAGATTTGTATCATCTTCTCACGAGCCACCGTTGCCACTCTCTCCTGATTGGGACGTAAATAACCACTTCAAAAGGAGGTTTTAATTTGTTAATAAATTATCTTATTTAGCATCCAATTATTGGAGGATATTTTAACGCTCTTGCCCAGAAATAAGTATGTTTTCTTACACTACTGGACACAACGAATGCATGACGATTTCGCCTCTCCTCTGAATGCATTTTTGTGGTTATGTTTGGTACTTAGTTCACACAAACGGTTTTCCTATTAAAGACCAACCTATGTTTGCTCCTTTAAATTTGAATCGATAAAATTTGGGATTTGAGTTATCGGAAAACCGTTGAATGTATGGTAAGCATCAAAAATTTGCACGGAATTTAACTCCAAATGCCCAACAAAGACCATTATCACCGTTGCTTCTTAAAAATCAGAAGTACTTTTCATTGATTGAAATAATCATTTTGGTTTCTCTACAACTTTTCAAAAATCTCTTGTGCTCAAAAGCCCATTTCTATTGAAAATCAAGAGCGTGCTATTAAAGACTATCATGTAGGAATTTTTTAAAGAACCATGGAAGGTTGTAGATAGGATGAAACTTCGCAATCTTCCAGGTAATTAGTCCCTGGTGTGAACCAATTATACTTTATCGTGTTTTCGTTATTTAATGGCCTATTTAGCGTTTCTATTTTAAAATTTAGTGTTATGTTACCTCTTATCTGTGGGGAATGTATCTCCATAAGCGCATATTTCGGCTCTTGAAAAATCAGAACTTGTTAAGCAACCTCAGCAGATAGCCAATGGATACTCTTCCAAGATTCTTAACTTTCAAACCTATGGTCTAAAATATTGATTATTGCATTTAAACAAATGGGAGGAAGATATTACTAAAATGACTTTGATCTTGATATGAAATGGAATTCAAAGTCACCCAGTCTCTCTTTGAAGATGCCGGCATTTTTTATTTGTTATAAAGACATCTTACAGCGCTTTGATCGTGTTGCGTTTGAATGAATAGATTTCTCAGGGTGTTTTCTTTTACTACTTATTAATTGATAATTAATTTATTTAGTACATCTGTTAAGATTAAGGGTTTATTGAACTCAGGTTTTCCTCAAGCTACTCATAAATAAGGACATTTTGAAAAGCCTTACTCACATCAACAGAATACTTATTATTTTCTTAATATACTCCTACTAAGCCAATGGCAGATGTCTGTGCGTGTGCTGAATGTCGCAACCTCTTAATGATATAGTTGTCTGCAAGAGCATCAAACAAGATCGTGGGTTCAATACTCATCGGTGGACATCCAGCGAAGTAATTGACTATTGGTATCTGTTAGACACGGAAAGCAGTGAGTTTTCCATCATAGAGATTATAGATGGCAGCCATCTGTCAAAGACGTTTTTAAAAATACTTTCTTTCGACGATCTTTCAATTAAAGCAACGCTATATTCAGTTAGTAGTAGAAGTTCATTTAAAGTGCAAAAACTTTTTGGCTCTGATGTGTCTTCTTATCAAGCGATTAGGAGAGCTCACTTGACAGTTTCGAACCCTTTGTTAACCTGGTGGACAAACAAAAGAGCAAAGTGGATAATAAATTGTTGGGAATATATAGGAATTTATTATATTAAGTTCTGTCTGGACATTGAGTACCGTCTATTCCTTGAATGGGCATAATTCCTACATTTGTACCAATTTAGCCTCACTATTTTTCGCATGCATTATGCAACTCTTTCATGTGGAACGAACTGATAAAAATTAGCTGCGGACATTCAAATACTGCCATCATCGAACGCCTTTTTGGGTGCACTTTTAATTGGCAAAGTGTTCGTACAGCTGTAACCAGAAATGCTGGTAAAATTAGGTCCAATTTATACGATTTGGGAGGTAAATAAAAATTTAGCTCTTCGTTTAAAGTAAAATTTCGCATTTACTGTAAGTAAGTCCCTTTCAGTACTTATTTTTTAGCATGCTAAGACGTGGGATTTGTTTAATTTTACACAGGCCTTTCTCTACGAAGAGGCCCTTTCTCTTCTATTGTTGCTCTCCAATACGATATGACACCCTGTTATTTATAGTTTATTCAATATTTGTCAAGTTGGGAACCTTTTGACATTCCAACTTCTAACAATATCGATTTGCTTAGGTAGTTTTTCGTTCTGCAAGCATTTACTTCGGGAGGGTAGATGTTTGTTTTAACAAAACGTTTTTTTCTCAAAGTATATAATTCCTGCAACGTGGGCTACGAACGCAGTCATGAGCACAGTTTCAAAATGGCTTCTCAGCCAACTGTTTTCAAAATATCGTTGAAAGACCTACTGATAGCTGAATGTTGTCGCATGATAATCCAAAGAAAAACACTGGAAAGTTGTCGGGGTGTCCCAAAAATTGTGCAACACCATTTATTTATTTAAAGTCAACCTTACAAACCTTCCCAAATATTATTTATAATTTTAAATATTTTGGAAAGAGGGGGGGGGTGTTGTCAAAGGAACCATGGAACTCACTCGAGAGGAAAATAGGATGCGAAGACGTATTTTACATATTTTTGCTTTTTAATTGCTTTTTCGTTTCAAATTCTTTTTACACAATTCGTCTTGTAACCTTTTTAAGAGGCCATTTGAAATCATCAACAAAATCTGATGCAAAAGATCTTACGGTATGCTGTTATTAAAAAGTTTGTTCCAATGCTTCGATTTTCATCTTGGACAAACACAATGGAATAAGCTACCACTTCATTTACGCAGTTCGATCATACCCTACCCAGCTGTTACTTAACATCTATATGTACCTTTATATTGCTTATTTATAATTCATCTTATATCTTAGATGAGCCGTTCAGTAGTCAATCAGGGGGTCACGGCAGTCCTCGAATGGCTTCGCCTCGTTCGGGTAACAGTCGAGAGCCAATTCCACGAATCCACACAGCAGCAGATTACAGAATTCGCAACAAATTCCCCAATTCCAGGTATACAGAGACTACTCGGGGCGGCGGCGGCGACGGCGGCGACGGCAGGGGAATCTTCCGGCAAATTCCGAAATCGCACACAGTCAACTCGTTCACAGAGGTATGTTCCGACAAAACAGAGGGAACGCGTTTCAGTCATCTCCCATTAGGGAGTGTAAAATTGCACATAATTCGCCAAACTAAGTAAGCCTGTGAATGAAGAACCGGAGTAATGTATAAATTGGCACATGTTGCCTGCAATAAACGTAAAAACTGGCAAGTGTACCGGGAGAATAACTGAGCTGAGTTGATTGGATTTTGTCATCGTGTTGTCCGACTTAGTCATCGTCTTTTATTGGATTATCATGGTTGCAAATAGAGCTTCTTCATCGGTTTCTACGCAACGCGTTGAGTTGAATAACGCCCAAAGCGATGGGGTGATTATCCAATCATTGTATTGGGGCGTTGGCCACCAAACCCCGAATCTCGTAGACTGATTACTCATAGCGTCACAGTCGACAACGCTTAAGCGAATTACATAAATTAGGAGAGTATTACTGTGCATTCTGGTTTAGCATTAAATAGTAGAAGTGGTTCAATGGTTTTGCTCTCTTAGGGCTTTTTGATGACCCGAAATTTTTTTCTAGCAGTTTGAGTGACTGAGTCCAGATTTATTGTCAATCTGAGGTAGCGATTTCAGCAGGATAGTCGCCTTTCATGAGCATAGATTCATATTCCTTTTAATATTTCTTCTTTTCAATTCCTTAGTAAAACCCTATTCTAATTTCTAGGTTCAGTAAATTTGGTGATGATCCCATTTCTATCCGACAGAGTTTACATTGTTATAAATGTGACTTCTTATAGAGGTCTTATTTCCTTCTTGCACTAAAATCAGACTAGTAGAAATTAACGTTCATTTGGTGAAATCGTATGCTGCAAATGAATTTTTTGGAGGAATCGTGCTTTCGTTCACCCCTATTCATCCACTTTACCTCTTACTGCTCAACCATCGATTTATTGTTAAAATAATGTTAAACCGGTATTCGAAATGTCTCCTATCAAAATGCTAGGTAATTTAGTGTTTTATTCTGGAGTTATTTAAAGCCCTTCATTTCAGTCCACTTTAACAGGTAATCACACAAGTGTCTAGAAAGTTACGGGAGGTAAGGTTTTGGAAAAATTTATGGTCGGATGGCGGATGGTGAATTTTCTCAAACACACGAGACGGTGGGAAGTTAGTGGGGGTGGGGGGGGGGGGGGGGACCCGNGGCGGGTAGGGCTGGAGTTTGCGTGCCCTAACCCAGCGCTTGCGCTCAAGGGCGAACAACTGGGTGAAGCGCGCATACAATGGACGCTCCTGAAATAAAAGACCGCGAACTCGGCTCGACCCTTATTTAGCCCTGGAATGGGAGCAGCTTGCTGTGGTGTTTAAATTACCGCCAAACGTGTTTATCTTTTGAATAGTTAGTTTATTTGTTATTAAAATTTTGTGAGCATATGCAGCAATGAATGGTAAGCTTGTATGCATAACTTCGTCAAAATTTAATCTATTCTGCCATTACAAATGATAATCAAACTTTATTTTATACTAATTTAACAAAAAAGGCCCAATTAACATAGATATTGCTTTAAATTCGTAGGACATTGGCGTAGATACCTCCAGCCTAAATACATATGTTGGGGGCACCAGTATAATGGGATCATCTGCACGTCAAGGATCTCAATCCTGCTACTCAAGTTCAACCATGTCCGGTCGTCCGATTCATTCAGTACCTCAACCACCTCTTCGATTTCTACCCCACTATTCCTCACCCAAACGCCGTGGCCCTGAATCCTCATCTGCACATCGCAGACGAAATCGAAGCTGTCGAACCTGCACAAATAATTCCCGCCCACTATCCATGAATGGTGGTCCACGAGAAGACGACTTTAGAACTGTCAAAAGGGCTCCCCATCTAGAAGATCGGAGTCCTAGTGGCTATCCACGATCCTTCTCCGCAATGTCCGCCGATACGCCTCCTACAACATCTCAAGGCGCCGGAAGTAGTAGCTTTGACCCTAACGATCTTATTCTCCCTCCCCCAAAAGAGTTTTGCTGCTAACTGAGTGTATTGTTTATCTCTCCTAATTTCGCTCTTTTCTTATTGGCTGTGAAATCTGATATCTCGATCCCTCTTCTCTCGTTCTGCACGTCCCGCTTTACGCATTCCTATGTGATATTTACAGAACCTTCACCATTTCGTGTAGCTCTAAACTAACCACTTTACAGCTCCTTTGGAAAAATGGATTTTTTCGGCTTATAAGTGACCGGTTTGTGTGCAGTAAATATACTTCCCATTTTATCCATAAATCAACTTTTTACCCATCTCTATGGCTATAGAATGGAGTATGATTTAAGTTTAGGAAATACTCAACATCGAAATAGCTATAGTGAGTAGCATAGTCCGATACCATTTGCCATGATTTATCAATAATCATTACTGAAATAAGAAAAATCGCACAATAAGTTCAGGAGAAAGGGTGAAGGTATTTTCTATTACTTTGATCAGAAGCTGGGTCGTGGCTTGTGGGGGAGGGGTAACAAACCAATAAACCCTTACTTGAAACACAATGCGGAAATTCTTTAGAACGAGCTAGATTTTAGAAATTCGATAAAAAGGAGAAAACCATTAAAACTGTGCAATTTGTCGGAGAAATTCTCGAGTCTGCTATGTTCCATCTTAGGATGTAGTCATTACTTATCAGAATAACCCAAATGTAGCGTTTCATCGATTTAAAAATTCATTTCTCATAAGTTTTGGCTTCGTTCTAGCTTTTCAATTCTTATTTAGTCTTGATCAAGTGACCACAAGACTCACTCTTTGTCAAGTCTCATTTCGGAACATTATACCAATATCTGACCAGGTCAATAGTCTTGTGAATTTTTTGTGCAGTTCCCAATAAGTTAATAAAACGTCCCCACATCTCCTTGAAATTTCCGTTTGATTTTGACATGCAGTGTGTCTTTCGAAATCGGGCTCAACGTCACCACCACGTCATAAATGAAAATTAGATAACGATTACTATTTATTTATATCAAAGTACATGCTTAATGATAATTATCATTACCACTGTAGTTTGCTTCAGGCTTCACAGAAAGGAGAAACAGACAAAGTCTCATGTAGTGGAGTGGGAACAGAAGAGTGGTTCACAGATGTAAAAGAGACAGACAGACGAAAAGGTAGAGAAAAAGGAGAGGTGAGTTCTGTTGAAGTATTTGAATATGAAATACATTTTGGTCATGGTAGCTTGAAGTCAGAAGTAAACCGCCGGTTTATAGACTTTTTTGCCGTATGAATATACGTTGCCCAGGGTGCACCACGTGGAGGTAAGTCTATCGCGTACCCCATACCGATTAATATCAACGTATTAATCTTACTCAAAGATAGACAGTAGAAGACAGAATGTCATGTACCATGTATATATATTTTTTCATTTAGTAAAATAGGTCATTTTATGAACAAATTAATGAAGAAAAATTATGCATAATAGACATTTGATATTCCATCAGTAGAACTTGAAAAATCTAGTTTCCTTCGACATATTTACTTCTTTGCCTAAAATAAAACGCATTGGTTAATTTCAATATGTAAATTCCATTTCGAGAGGGAAGAATTTTCACAATATCCCATGCGAAATCTTTTTACTGTGCTCAAGGCATGCGCAGGAGAAATTGAAATAAAGACAAGTGAAATTTTTACACACAACTTGAAAAAAAGCCTCTTGTTGCATTACTGCTCAAGAAGGTCTAAGAGTCATAGTTGATCACATAAGTGATCATTACATTTCTTCCAAATTTTTGACATTCAGTAGACCAGTTTTTTGGAATCTTTTTAAAGTATATAATGTCATGCAACATCTCTCTTCACTATACGCTAAGAAATGTCAATAAAAAATGAGAATTCATAGTTAACCATCAAATTGCATGTACTTGAAATTATATTCTAAAAAGAACTGTCGAAACTAATATAGGCAAGTGGCTGATGCAAATATTCCGCCAAGAAATAGTTGAATGTTGAGGCCTAAATATGCTGGCATCACATCTTGATAACGAACCTCATAGGTTACATCATGTCTTCCGTCCTGAAAACTCCAAAATAAATACACCTTACACAAGATATGTGGCAGGTAGAAGATTTCTTCAGTGAGTCTGAAAATCAATTTCAATGATTGCTTCAAAGAAAAGTGTTGTTGACATGTTGGATTTGAATGGGGGATTATTTATTTTGTTCAAATCAAGTAAAATCATTATCACTTAAGGTCCAAAATTTGCCGTTCATCAAGTTCCAATGCCCAATATCTCCTGATCTCTAGCATAGCAGACTAATAGAGCATTTATATTTCCCGTCAAATAAAGACAGTAAAAAATGGTCGCAAGCTGTAGATTCTGACAGTCTGCCGCTCAGAGATACCAGAAGAAATTTGCACTGAAAGGCATAGTCGTCGAGCTATCAATGCAGACAGAAACTAGGGTGAGATTGAATCTCAATAAATTTGTAATAATCAAAATTCGTAGACAGGCATAGAACGCTATCCACTTTTTACTTGTGACTAAAGTTTTGATTACCATCATGGAAAGGAATTAGTGGTGGAATAAAGTGCAACAACACTTTACATCTAAAGATCAATATGCCCCTTCGCCCTGAGATGACTGAACTAATAGGGACTAAAAATGTTGCGAATACAGCAAAAAACATCAAGTTTAAACGTTGCAAGAAAGCTATCAAAAACTCCCATTCAGTGGCTAGGAAGTGCATAATTTGGCTTTTCTCTGTCACATCAGACAGAATTAGCAGCAGTGGGATACAAATTTTTAAAAAATGGAAGGCAATAAGAAAAATAAATCACCTGCAACAAAACGCCTTCCGAAGAACCCATTGCCATGGTTACTTTAGTGTCCCGCATGGAGTGACTCATACCGAGGAGCCTTAAAGGATAAATAAAGCAAATCGCGTTGTTAGAGGTAATGAGATAAGCTTGGCCTATTTCATTTCAAGGCCCCTATTATCAGTGTTTTTTGACAAAAACCGCACCCCAAGTCTCTGTGACAGAGAGAGCAATATGAGATAGTTAATTAGGTTGAGGGTCGGCACTCCAGTATCTGATTTCGATCCTTTTAACCAACATTAAAATAACCCTATTTGTACGTAAACCAACTACTACTCAAATACTTCAAACGAAAATTAAATTAAATTTGTAAAGAAAAACTTGAAATGAGACATACATAGATGATAAGAGGTAAGATAATAACGACTAAACAATTGAGACCTCATGATCATATATATATAAGCTGGTTAGCTCAAGAACAAGTCCTGTGTACATTACACACTACTTTTATGATTCATTAAATTTAATTAGCTTGGACACACCATAACCTGACTGAATTCGGCCAAATACGGTTGAAGCTATCATTGGAAAGTAACCATAAATTCCATTTCATAAACTAAGTGGGAAGATCAGAAATATTAAAAGTCGTAATTTGCCAAACACAGTTTTATGGAATATTTATTGAGAGAATTTACACTCCTACCAAATAAGTTAAATGCTGAAAAATGTGATCAATCTCCGCCGGTTACATCAGATGTCAACCAATGGTAGAAGATTGGCCAGTCTCGAGGCATCAACCATTAGACATGACCAACGCCTCATAAAGAAACGTTTGGAGATAAAGCCCAACTTTTTTAATCGATACATTAGAGGGGATTGTTCGATCAACTGTAATAGTGACTTGACATGCTTACTTAAATCGGACCTAGTTTAATTGCAAAATAAATTATCTATTAGCATAAGAGAGAAATTTTACAGAGGTAGCTATATTCTCATGTGCTCGACTACTGAAGATCAAATCTATTGCGTTCATTCGCTTAGGCTCTAACCCTAGAAATATCAAGAGGGCACCTGCACGCATTTCTTGGCAAAGGAAAACGTAAATTTATATTCCAAGGTAAAAAAACCAACTTGGTCGATTCTTTTTTGTGCTTTGAGACAAAGTAGGGCTAATAACGTCTTTTCCCTGTCTCTTCTCGCCCTAAATTTGTTACATTAAGGAATATATGTATACATATAATCACCTCCCTTGAAAAAAAAATCTTTTTTCCCCCAAAGTGGCATGATGCTTCATCAAAGTTGCACTGAATTGGCCCTTGAAGTATTTCATAGTAAAATTGAGCTGATGTGATCTAATAAGTTTCATTCGTTTAACACAACACTTAATTTGTTCATTATAAGAGTAAAATCCTCACAAAAGAAAAGAAAATTAATTTGGGAGAGGCAGCAGGAAAATTGGAGGCCACTTGTCTATATTTTAAAATATGCATTGTTTTAATTTGGTGTCCACAGGAAATGACGTCCATTTAACTTCGATTATTCGAATGCATTGAAATAGCACAAACTACAAATAATCCGCTGTTAGATGATAGCCCATAGCAGCATAAATGTAACAACAGTGTGCTAATTTGATAATAAACTACGATCTGGGTACAAGTAAAAACTCTTTTGCGTTGAGGCAGGCAGTAATGGGTAGATTCCCAATCAAAACATTAATAATTGGTTTGACAAGGCTGGAGTATTTGCAAGAGAATACAGACTGTTTTTTGGAATGAATGGATGGGGCAGTGGCAGAAATTGAGGCCTCTTTGTGAGTCTGGTGGGTGGGCCGGTGTACTTATTAATATTGCACCTGAGAGAGAGAGAGAAGTACACAGAGTTTTTGTGCTTGTGCCTGGGAAAACAAACTTTATACCACAATTATTGATCAATATCTAGCACTGGCTAATTGAGCGATTTTAAGGCCATTGATTTGGGACTTTTGCCTCGTAATTACAATTAAAAGTTCATTTTTTTGCATCTCTCTAATCTTGTGCCCCTGAATTTGGTAAAACCATAATTAATTCCACTGGCTGAAGAACAGGAAATATTGGAGACTTTCATTGATCGGCAAACCGCATTAATAAATGCTCCATAATTAATGATCCAATTATCCCTGTCATTTGCACAATGCGCCTTTTGGCAAAATGTAATAGTAAAATTTAATTCCCCCTGTGAAGGAAACTAGACTAATTGT